TTAAAGTGGCATCGCTAATAAAAGGCTACCCTGTATTAGTTTACAAATTAAGTATTAACATATTCATTAATATTCGATAAAAAACCAGATGGGTGGTTTTTGCACCAAACGCACCAATTAGTAAAACTACCGTTTATTACTAATACAATAATATAATATAATTTAGGAGAAGCGTACGGGTGTTGACCATATATTTGAACACAATGTCGGCTTTTCGAGGGATGCCGAGTGGAAACGGATGCGGACATCACTGTCGCCCACGTTTATGTCGACCGGAAAACTCAAACGAATGACTCCTTTAATCCTCGAGTGCGTGGACACTATGAACGACACCATCGACAACATTATTGCCAGTAGTAATGGCATACTCTCGGCGCCGGTAGACGTGAAACGAGTGACAGGTGCCTATGCCATGGAGAGCACAATACAAATGACTTTCTCGCGGAAAGTGTCAGCTCTGGACGATCCTAATAACCCTATCATAGAAAATGTCCGCAAGATTCATAAGAATAGTTTATTGTCCCTGGTGAAATTATCAACTATTATGTTAGCTCCATATGTGGCCAGAATGTTGAGAATATCGCAGTTTGATAGTAAAGTTACGCAATTTTTCAGCGACTTTACGCTAAATCTAATCGATGAGAGGAAACGTGTGTCGGAAACCGAAAGTGCCGTAAAAAAGGTTGACTTTTTGCAACTAATGTTGGACTCAATGAGAGATAATAACAATCAGGCGATCGATGGGTCCGATGATTATACGGATAGTAAGGGTGGAGAGAAATATGGGGAAATACGGGCCACGGCTGGCATGAGGGATAAGGGTGTGTATTACATGAGTTTTTACGAAAAAATAAAATAACCTTGTATATAATTTTATATAAACTTATCGAAAGTTATGCACTTTTATATAAATTTAGTAATAACTTGTATATCAAGTCTTAATGAATTACGTGTACGTAATGCTAATTCACAGGCCTTTCACACGACGAGATCATAGCCCAATGTGTGATGAATTTAATATCCGGGTACGATAGCATTTCCGCTACGATATCCATATGCTTGTATTCAATCGCTAAACACCCGGAAGTCCAACAAACACTGTACGAAGAAATTAATACATTTTATGAGCAAAAGGTTTGCATAAATTTAATTAAAAAAATTTTTTTCATCTTAAAAATTTGTTTATATTAAGGACTCATGAAATATATATGTAATACCTTTTGTTACGGTTTAAAATTTAATAAACTTTAAAATTTTAAATAGATAATATGCGCATATCTACAAATTATATAGATAAGAAAAATTATTATTTTTAAACAATCGTGGAGATTAGACACATTTATATTCACACAAACAATCATTTAAACGACAAATTTATTATGAATAACATACCGTACAAAATACTGTATATATGTTGTAATCCAAATTCCTCCAAACGTTAATAAATTGTAGATTAAGGGAGTTATCCCTTACGGAGATTTATACGGAGAGTTTAATGTTGAGGGAGTTTTCCTTATACACGGCGCTACGGTGTATAGGGAGACCCGGATGAGCGCAGTTTTTAGAGATTAATAATAAAGGTGTGACCGGAAGTTACACGTGTTTAGCCGGAAGTATGGCTTAAAGGTGTCCGCACTGTTGACATTGGGGTGACTACTCCTTGCTATCGGAGCGATGAGTGAACCATTGACTGCAGAGTTGATTTGACGAAAGTTTTGGTGGGACTGGAGTCGAAATACTTCAGTTTAGCTGTTCCACCAAAACAGCTATCCCTTTGTACAAACAGATGATGTCTGGATGCAAACCTTCACGGCTTATTCCTGCCTTCCCTACCGGTCAGGCCAAGACTCGCCTTAAGTCGCGGAGTTGTCGCCATTCCTGTCCACCACATTAGCCGTGGACCAAGACTTGAGTCGTATCCCAAACCGTTAAATTAAAATACATTGTTTTTAGACAAAATAAATTTAATGTTTACGGTTTAAGATTCAGAATACAACCACCAAGAGAGTAGGCTTTGCAGCTCTCTCTTACACTAAAAATACAGTCACAACACTAATTAAGTGCTGATTGGTTGCACGTATGCACTCATAATTAATCAAACAAATAGTAATACAAATAATGAGACAAATAAACAGAGCTCCTATCGGTTGTGAGTTTTAACCAAATATAGAGTTTTCTTCACGCATAATAGATTTTACAAAAGTACAACATTTTTATATTCATATGAAATAATGTTTAATGTATAAAAATAATTTTAATATTTTAAAATATGGTTATAATTTGTTAACCAAATTAACTAAAGTTGAACAAAATTAACTAAATAGTAAACAAAATTAATTAAATAGTGAACTAAATTAGCTTAATAGCAAACTAAATTAGCTTAATTGTGAACCAAATTAACTAAATAATGAACTTAATTAATTAAATTGTGAGCCTATTTTCTAAAATTATAACCATACTTTTAAATATTAAAATTATTTGTACATTATTTATATCCATCGTATTGTAATACTCTATTCAAACCGGTTTTTTGTCAAAACAATGTATTACACAATAGCCTTTTATGCGTGACTATACTTTTGTTGCTCATAACGGATAGGAGCTCTGCAAATAAATAATTAATAGTTTAAAACAAATAGGAATTTTCCCTAATAAATATAAGGGTTGAATTTACCATTACAACATATATGAAAGACGATTTATTAAAAAGGTTACAATGAAAAACCATTTAAGCCTTTGAAATCACATGCAAAGTATACAGAGGGTTAAAATCTTATCTTGCTCACACGTTGAACTTATATTTATAAATTTATGGTTTACAAATATAATGTTTAATTTATTGTGCAGTACGTGTCGGGTATAAGGTTTATATGAATAAACAAATTTTATTACTAATTTGTATAGATATTAATGTTTGATAATATAATTAAAATAGAAATCAATGGCCGATATATACGAGTCATTAAACGCAATGAATTACATGAACGCAGTCGTCGACGAAACCATACGACTATATCAAGGCTCCAAAATTGAGAGGATTCCCTCCGTGGACTACGTCCTTAAAGGCACCGGTATTACCATCAAAAAGGGTCACGTGGTGCAAATCCCGACGTACGCCATGCATAGAGACCCGGCTAACTTTGCCGATCCGGAAGCGTTTCGACCGGAAAGGTTTCTACCGGAAAATAAAGCTCACAATCCCTATACGTATTTGCCATGGGGTGCCGGCCCTCGAAGCTGTATGGGCATGCAAATGGTTAAGTGGTTGGTTAAATTGGCCCTGGTGAGCCTGGTTCATCGATACGTTTTTCACACTACAGAGGTAATTTATTATTTTATAGCTATAAATTGACTTTTGAAATGAAAATTTAATATTTTAGCTTTGTAGTAGTAATTAACATTTTTATTTATAGAAACCTGTACAGTTTTATGTGGCCAATGGTGGACTCATACCGAAAGCTGTTTATTTAAAAATTGGTAAACGTGAATAATAATTTAATGCAACTATAACAATAATTTTAATTATTAATATTTAATTTAATTTAAATTATAAACAATGGTTTATAACGTGTGTATAATAAAAAATTAGACAGATTTCTACACAGACATACTGTAACTTAAAATTAAAACACAATAACAAACTTTACATCATTTGAAAGCCTATCTCTCAGACAGTAAATCTAAACGAAAATAACTTCATTTGAATCAGTGATCAATAAATGATGACCAAAATACAACAGGTCCTTCGCAAACATGTTGTGACATCAATGCAAAATGCCATTATAAAAATGTATGGGTAGTTGTGTTTTGTTGCAAACACGCAACACAGCACTGCTCTCACAATGCTATTCAATGAGAGATCTTTAAAAATTTTGTCACAACATGATCTGTCTAATTTTTTATTATACACACGTTATTTTATTTAAGAAATATTAGAGATATTCAACTTTTTTAGAAATAAGTAGATTAAAATTTTGTATTATTCTAGAAATAAAACTTTAACAAAACGTATTTTTACTTTTATTAATCAAAACCTCTTCACAATGATAATGTCAACGGGTCTACTCGTGGACCACCCAGTCCGGTCCGCGGTGTCGATGACATGGGGTAAGGTGTGGAGCGTCGCGGTCGATGGCTCCTCTTCGGTTTCCCTGCCCCGGGTGTACTCTTACGTGCGAAGGGGCAGTGCAGGCGGACCCCTGACTTGCCCCGGCATCCGCCGCTCTTGGGGTTCTCTTGTACAGAAGGACGTGCAGGCAGTCCCCAAACGGACAGGGCTCCCGCGGCCCTGGGTGTTCTCGTCAAGGGGGACATGCAGGCAGTCCCCAAACGGATAGGGCTCCCGCGGCCCTGAATGTTCTCGTGCAGGGGGACAAGCAAGCAGTCCCCAATCGGACAGGGCATCCGCGGCCCGTGTCGTACTAGTGAAGGGGGAGCGTTGTCCGGCACCACCACTTGTACGCCGTCTTGGTCATGAGGGTCCTTGGCCGCCATCCATGCCATCACTCCACCAGAACTTGCCATCTCTTGTTTGCGGACGGCCTGAACGCCGGATTCGCACCCTTCCTATGCCGGGGCTGACGAGCCGGACCTCCTATCCCAAGGGAGGCCTTCCGTCAGCCCGGCCAACGGTTCCCTTAAACGAAACGGTTTGTGGACAAACTAACGGCAAACGCTGTCCAAAAAGCTTAACAAAAACTTTAAACTTTTTAAACTCATTATTTTAAAAGTGAGAAATAAATTCCAAATCAATTCTCTCATTGCATACAATTTCGAGCCGTATTTATGCCAAAATATTGCTTACAATTACTATTAAACATCCGTTTAATTCAGTACTAAACGCTTATTTTGTGATTATGTTCACTAAAAATAAGTATTGAAAACACTTACAATTCAATTTAATTCACTGCGAATTAGATAAATGAAATTACTTAAAATACATTTTAGTTAAATGCAAAATATTAGGTTTTCCAGAAAGTTTTGCGAGGTAAATTTTGAAGCTTAAAAATCAATATTTCAATAACCAATAGTGGTATCAAAAATATTTTT